GAAAGAAATTGTTTGCTCTGAAAGTGCAGACAGTGCTGTTGATGATTAACAAACCAGGATACTCGCAGGAAGGTATGAAGACAGGCTATCAGTTTCATCATCAGGGACCAAAGCCCTTTCCCTGACAGGTATGACCTGACCGCTGTAACGGAGCTGCCCCATGGAGCTGCTGTGCAGATTTCACACACAGCGACAGCTTGGGAGCAGCTGGGAATATTTGGGCTGTGACAGAGCAGACCCTACACTTCCCAATGTCATTTACATTGCCCAGCGGCCAGCAGGTAGGTTTCAAGAAGCACAGGGCACAGGCTGCCTTGCTGTGGGAGGTCTCTGCCCTGCAGTAAGGAAGGAAAGACAACAGACAGGCAGCTGACCAGATAAACAGGCGACTGCCAGGGCAGATGTCTTTGTAACCGCTACAAGAATGAAAACATTTCTTCTTATTGGGAATGGGAGCTTATTCCACAACCTTACATGAGCTGAGAATAACGGGAGCCTACGACGTTAAGATTTTGACCACAGAGATCCAGTCTCTCAGAGTTACGGTTTCTGGAGAAGGTGCCTGTGTGTGGGCAGCCCCTTTGCTGGATACTATAGCACTTCTTCCAGGCACTCCAGAGCTGAGAATACTAACAGCCTACGCAGGCTCTCTCGAATCACTACTGTCTTAATGTCAAAGGTTTCACCTGTCCCCACGTGTGGGACTTAGAAGACTGTAACACCACACATAGGCTTTGACATGGCACTGCCACCCAGAGAGGACAATTTGCTAGCTCTGCTGGAGCCTCTCCCAAGCTGCCCCCACTTCCTCACAGATTTCTTTTTGTTCCCCGTTGAGGACTGTGGCATGCACAATTTGCTTTTGTACCGCTTACAAGAGGGTGGGCTTTCAAAGGTCAGGAAGGCCTCTCTGCTGGAAACTATAAAACGGATGAAATTATGGCTTGATCATCATGCTCATCCACTACCAGTTCCATGCCAGAAATGATGAAAAAGTGCATTATTCCTGTTAGTCAGGAGAAGGTTCAATGCTAAACACAGGCAAGTGATGGTCAGAGGTAGTAGTAAGTACACCTCTGAGAACTACAGATGGGCATAATGCTATTTCTTCTCATGTTACAAAAAGGTGAAAAGCATGTTTTGAATTTAGCCTACTTAGCAAAATATTTCAATGTTGAACAACAAAGAGGAGCCACAAAAAAACAAGCTACCCAAATCCAGATGCTGAAAATAATTTTGGCATGTATAAAACCCAAACTGCCCCACAGTAACCCACCATTTTGTACTTACAGAGAGCAAAAGAAGAGAGTAAAGGAAAAACGAAGAAGAAAGGCATCACTCAAACAAAGTCTTGTATGTCCCTGCACACAGAAATACACTAAGCTTCCTTACAGCACTTCCTCTGATGTAACTGTTGGTTATGTCTCACAATGTTTCAGAGAAAAAACATATACAACAAACACAAGTGCAAAGATCAACACAATTTCCAAGCAAGTCAAGATAGAAAAGAGCTGTCACAAAGAAGGATGAAAAGGACTGAGAATGAGAAAGACTAACATACCAACTTGCTACTGCTTTAGCCAACTGATACTTTCAGACTTTTAGAATAAACTTTATAAGAGGCTTGCTAATAAAGATTCTGGTATTTAGGAAGAAGTGAAATTGCTAAAATGAAACTAAGCGACAGTATAGACAGAAGAGTCCACCAACTAGTAAGGTATCAGATGATCCAGAAGAGGCTACAAAGAAATGAACATCTCTGAGGTTACTAAACTCTGGCAAACTCCTCTCCTACAAAGGCTAATTTTGTTTAAAATTCTCCCAGACTGAAATAAGTATTATCATGAAAAAGGAGAGAAGAATATCAGCTAAGACAGTCAGGTAGAAGAAAGGGTTGTGTTTGGACAAATTATAAATCTGCTCAGCTTCACAGAAACATCCACATTTCTGAAAGCTTATCTGAAACTCAGATTTCTCCCCAATTTTTGCATGTTCTCTACAGTAAGACAATAAAGTTATTTTGAAAAAGGAGTACCTACCAGGAAGCGTCAAAGCCTCTAATATAGATTGAATTTAATATTATCCACATCAGTATGAAAGAATATAAAATATTACCATGGCTTATTTTAATTACGAGTTTAACAACACAGAGAAAACCACTAATTAATCATATTCACTTCAGTTATAAATGACCTGTATTTGCTTTCTGTGTTATTGAGCTTTCCAGAAAAAGGTTAGTATTTTGCTAGCTACACATCACAGCTGCTTTCTCACATTTCTCAGAAAATAAACTTTCTACACTGACAGGTGAAGACTCAAGCATGTACCACACTGCCAAATTCAATCAGGCAGAACTATAAGCAGCCTCCCTTCAGGGCTGCTTCTTTGAATTAAAAGTTTGCAGAGGTCAACAACCTTTCTGCCCCAGGTTTTCTTGTAAGCTGAGGAGGTTTTATACCAGCCTGTCAACCTACTCAACTGGAAGTTATTAGTGTTCTCCGCTACAAAAGAAACCTAACTCAAGCCTTAAAAATTTTATAGGCTTAACAACTGTTGGGGAATCCCACAAATGAAATTAGGCAATGTTCAAAGCCAAAAAATAATCTATCATCAATATCAATTTGAACCACTTACAGACCGCTAATAAATCCACCAAATTATAGCCCACAATCTCAGCGAGAACACAATTGGGTTTGAACCGTATTTAGGTGTAGTTAATGTCTGGAGTAATGTAGCTATATTTTATAGAGAGTCATTTAAATAGAAAATTCACTCATACCTGTTATCTGAAAGATAAGACTACACTGTGGAGTTTGATTCACATTTTCAAAACCAGAAAAATTTCACATATAGCAAATCGAAGATTGTGTTTTTTCCTTCTTAAAATCCTCTGCAAGTAACAGACTGCATGCCAACCCAAGCAAAAGCATGGAAAGGTAGAAAAGGCACTCTTCCCTGCAGCCTTTTGTGAATAAA